ATCCGCATAATCAGAAACACGGAAGGATTAAACAACCATTTAATTCAGCAAATTTCCCACTTTTTGATCATAAATGATCCAAATTAAACTAAATAATATTCACTGGTGCAATTGTCGAGACCTTGTATGTGTGGCTTCATAGTTGTTGATTCTGATGCAATCCAATCTTTCCGTTGAATCCAATTAATTTTGAAAGATAGTACAGCCTTTATAGAATAGACATGAATCTTAAACCTAATGTCGTCGTATGGTATCGGTGAACGATAACCACGTAGCGCCAGGAAAACCATGCTTTCAAGGCGCAAAGCCCCTTATCATCACGCACGTATAAATGCGCACAAAATAACAACAGATTACCTGTAAACGCTTATTTCAGTTCTCAACTCTTGTGCTCAAACGAAAAGAGCCAAGTTATTATCCAGCTCATTTCCGTTGTCTGACTTCGAAAGTCCTGTCGAACCTTTAGACAGCGGCATCCCTCACAAAGATGCTGCGGCCATTAGTCGGTCGTTTCCGGCTTTCCCGCCCGCCTTTGTTCATCTCCAATTAGAGCTAAGTTAGCACCCACCTTAAACCGACTGTTAAGGCCTAACCTACACTAGTGGATTGCGATTAGTATTCTCTCTGTTCCGATGATGACAGGGTTGGTAGTGTGATCACGTTTCAATGGGGCAGGAAAAAAAAAATCTATTCACAGCGTCGTTCTACAAATATAAGACCCATTTAAATAGTAATTACACTAAGTTTTTTAATTATTATAAATATCACAATTCCGAATGTTTACCTTACCGGTAAAAGCGGCAATAAATGGCTCTTCATATGAACGCATCAGGGAAGAGTGGCGGCGTGTTGTGAAGCTTACCTCAAACACCTGAAGTAAAGACCACGATCACTCCGTCAAGAGTAATGTCGACAATGACGTTTTATCTCCTTTCAACAACAATTTTGGATTTATTTGTGCCGCACGTAAAAAACAAAATGAATAGGTTCTAGTTTAACATTGTGGCCATTTTGTGTAGATAACGCATAGCTCACTTAATATCCAGTTACCACAATCAACCACAACAGCTATGCTATCCACCTTGAGACGTAGAATTGAAGAATCGCTTTCTTTGATCCTCCTTTCCTTCACACATGTGTGTTTCTGGTGCATAATTCATTTCCGATAGATAGTTATAGTTGTTAAAGACTTGCAACACGCCCAACCACATTGTACAGTTTGTAACTATTATTACATTAAATGAGCTTAGGGGCCATAAATATACATATTTACGCAAGACCCGAGTTCGTCACCCTTCGAACCGATGTGGCTATTTACTTTCCCGGCTCACTGTAACTAGCGACTCGGCTTGAGGCTGTTCTCCTGGGACTTCCTAATACCTGTTTCTCCGGTATAAATAAGTTTAGCGGTCTCTGCGACGTGTCTGGACATACGGCAATGTTGCCACGCTAAATAGATTTAAGGACAATCATGAAAATAATGTTATTAGAGATACAAGGTAAGTAGATTATTCAGGGCTTGAATGTGACGTATTTCAGAATATGGTTGGAAGAGCATTGTGTTTGTTACATCTATCATGTCGCATTACTATGTGGGTTATTCTCATTGCCTATTTGGTAATAGGGTGAAGATTGTAACAGGCGCGGGAAACGAGAAATTGAAGATCTTCCACCGAGCGGATGAAATTGCTCGGTAGACCGACAGTCCGGTTGTTGTTATTGATAACTTGTATATATGTAAGCTCATCTTAGAAATGTCGTTAGCGACATTCAGGTATCTGTCAAATATATTGTACTCTATAATGGCTATCCACTAAATAAACTAAACAAAATAAGAGCAGTTTTACGTTTAAGCTCATTAGCTTAGACACCACAGTGAAATTTTCTTAAATTTAAGAAGACTGAAGTCGACTCTTCACTTTTTACTGTAAATATATTCAAATAGATTATTAAGGTATAAGTCCCTCTGACAACATGATAATAGTACCAGAGTATGTCTTAAAAAAAAAAACAAAGTTTTGCTACCCTACACAAAGATATTTTACACACGCAACTCACCGTACACGTTTGTACAGACAGCAACGAAATATAAATCAAAAATGAAATATCGTTACACGAAGCATTTTGTATTTGCGGCATTTTAATAACTGCCTCCTTAGGTTATTTTGGTCGTTCACTCCAGTGAAGAACCAGTATTCGACAATATATCGAAGGGAGCGGACGTTCAAAAAACGTTTTTAAGTGAGTACAGTTGGAATCTTCACTTTGAACAATCTTTTAGCAAAAGAGATCGCCTAAAATTATTACTAAATATTATACGAAAAGGTTAAGAAACAGTATGAAATCGTATTTATTTTATCGTAAAATTTCATTCGACTGCTGTTTTTTATTAATTAACAACAAATAGCCCATAAATGGTAATACCACTTTTCAAATCCACTCATAATTGTTTTTCAGAAACCATCTATCCAAGCGTTAATTTCTGTGATTCACCAAACACAAAAAAAAAAACATTAACATTTCCTTACAGACACCAGCCTTAGATCTATCAAAAATAATAACACTCAACACACATTTAAATTGCTAAAAGTACAATGCATCGTTGACGCATCAAAAAAGAAATAAAACCACAGAGCATACACGCGACTCGCCGCTAACCGCCTAGCCCAGAGCGGCCGCAAAAAAAAAAGAAAAAAAAACATGTCAACACGTCCCGGCTTCTCTCGTGATATATGGACAGAAGTCTCTCGGTATTATATTATTGTTTTATATGCAGTAAGCGGTGAATAAGAGATTAAACAGAAATAATATATCTTTTGAGTTATGAGAAATTGCGTTTGTTACTGGTAAAATAATTTTATTTCGGTACATACGATATCAAAATGTTAAAAAATGTGCCTGTCATAGATAGTATTAGACTACAATTTCCTTCTTAAATAGATAAATATAAATTTAATTGATATAAATACTAACCTGATACATTCGTGCTATTAAAAAATCATAGGCCACTGTTATTTGTGTTTTTCAATAGTGTTTGAAGTTTATTGTCAATAAATAAGAGCGTTTAATATAATCATTTTCGTAGCCTAAAAGATTCGACAATATACTCGTACTGAGTACTGCAACCATGCCGATATCCATAGTCCGTAATGAGGTATCCAACATTTGATAGAAAAATACGTTCCTAGCGCGTATTTAAGAACAATTTCCACGACCTAAGTGAAGAAATGCCAAAATTTTAATGATTACATAATTTTTATTGTTAAGGTGAATAGTCTGCATAGGTAGTATAAGTATAAGTGTAAGTTCTAATGATTCATCCATTTCGTGTCATTTAGTCTATAATAATATGTCCTTTGAGACCTCATGATCGTCGACAGCACTCTACATATCATATCTATGTCGGCAGTTTATCTTTTTTTTATTTATTGCTTAGATGGGTGGACGAGCTCACAGCCCACCTGGTATTAAGTGGTTACTGGAGCCCATAGACATCTAGGACGTAAATGCGCCGCTCATCTTGAGATATAAGTTCTAATGTCTCAAGTATAGTTACAACGGCTGCGCCACCCTTCAAACCGAAACGCATTACTGCTTCACGGCAGAAATAGGTGGTGGTACCTACCCGCGACTCACTAGAGGTCCTTCCACCAGTAAATAAAAATAACGTAATAAAAAACACTCAGGAAATAAATAAGGAAACAAGTCAGTAAAAATCCATCGACCTTGAATGAAGACTTAGTCGATACGTCGAGATGAAAGGTTCGCTTTGTCGCCCGAACAGCCTTCCGGAACACCTGGGCGCCGTAACATCTGAACATCATTTATTAACCTAACGCTCCTGCTAAACATAATGTGAACGGAAAATAGAAAAAGGCGCTTTACCTTCGATATTTCTCTGCCTAAATCTCGTGAGCAGGTGTCTCTGAAATTACTTCAAATGCTTCTTAGGTTAGAACTGTTTCGTAACGTCAACATTGTTCGTACGACAGTTTGAAGTTTTATCCAAAAATACATATATACTTAAGTAAGCGTGTTTGCAAATCGGGTTAAATAAAAAACAATAGAATTAAAATAAAATGCAATCTAATTTAAATAGTGGCAAGAAATCTATCTAACGGCCGTCTGGTGTAGTGGTAAGTGACATGGTCACTACACAAGGGGGTTACGGGTTCGAATCCCGCCCAGGAAGGATATTTGTGTGATAAATATAAAATGTCTTTTCCAGGCTTATGGATGTATATTAAATATAAAATATGTATGTGTTTAATAAAAATCTTACATTTATTTCCGTTATCTGGTACTTGTAACACAAGTTCTTTACGTACTTACCACGGGACCAGTTAACGTGGCGTGATTGTTAGTAAATATTTATTATTATTATTTATTATTTATTTATTATTATTGAGAGTTAATATAGAAATAGCTGTCGCACGAAAAAAATCAAAACCGTTTCAGTTTTTAGGTGAAATATTTTTTTATTATTAACCAAAAGTTACAATGTCGTTTTATGAAAATTGATTGGAAACCTTTATGATGTGCCCTAAAGTCTTTTGCGATTGACAGCAGATTAGGTAACGTTATTCGCATTGCTTTCAATTTCATTTGATCTCGCCTTTATTATTGTCATTTAAATATTTCTGACGTTTCGGTTTTTGTGGACACGGAATTTTTTTTTTTTTTTATTGCTTAGATGGGTGGACGAGCTCACAGCCCACCTGATATTAAGTGGTTACTGGAGCCCATAGACATCTACAACGTAAATGCGCCACCCACCTTGAGATATAAGTTCTAAGGTCTCAGTATAGTTACAACGGCTGCCCCACCCTTCAAACCGAAACGCATTACTGCTTCACGGCAGAAATAGGCGGGGCGGTGGTACCTACCCGTGCGGACTCACAAGAGGTCCTACCACCAGTAAAAATGTGAATGAATGAATGTTAGTCCTTTGAATTTAGTTAAAAAAATGTGAACTAAACGTATTATTTTCTTCCTTTCAGACAAACGACGCAGTGAATGTAACTAACAGCCTAGAAGCGTACACCATGCGAGCGGTAAGTACTTCAGTGGGTGCCTCGTAAAATGCACAATATCCTTCGTTCTGCTTATTCGTCTTAAATTTAAACCGAACATCATGTTCAAAGGCGCAGGGACGTAACGAGAATAAAATATTGACTCAACCATCTCGCGAATAGATGGGTCCTGATTTTTTTCTGGTCAATGCTCAATCATTCTATAGTGAACTAAATTCATTTTAAATAACTAATTTAAAGTCAATAGAAAATTAAGTATTTTACTAATTTAACAGCACTTTTAAATTTAAAATGCATCTAGTGTTTAAATAAATTAATTTTTATCAATCGATTGCTATATATCCAAAGCCGTATCTGTCTTAGTTTTTGACAATAGCCTTTTTCTTTACGACTCTCGAGAAGGTCCGCATTTTCTGCAGGGCCCCACGCATAAAACTAAAACGTCCAATATCGCGCCATCTGCCGCCCGATCACGCTCGAATCACTCAAAGAGCACAAATTACGGCGACTCCTTGCTTTATTCCCTTCGAACGAGAGGGGGACAGTTTTCATAAAACGAATAGTCTCTCGTTCTCGGAATTCTCTTGTATAAAATTCCGACTTTACGTCGAGACAAGGAATGTATCGGATGCCGTCTTCAAATCCAACAACGCTAATTACGTTTCGGCCCCCGCTCCCCCCGCGTCCAAGAAAAGAAATAAGCGAACCTTATACTATTTGTATTTGGACGAATTTGTCAATTACTCTCTCGGAGAGGGTCCGTTTCCTTATAGGGAAAAACGTAAATTAGACTTTTGTTCTTTTTTTTCTTTAAATTAAAATTATTCGAAAACTTTTTAAAAACCTCATTCGGGATCGTTCGTTATGTTTCGCGGAATCGTTTCCGGTCAGTGCGTATTGTTTCGAGGGCTGTTTCGTGTGTTAATGTCGTTTTGAATTCCTAGGAAACGCGAATCGGGCTGAGAGCGCGCACCTCGGCCGCCAAATAATAAAAGGTCTAAAACAAAAGAATAAAAGGAGAGGCCCGAATAATATTTACGCGGGCGTCCCTCGGCCGGCGGAAACAGAATGTTGGCCTTAAATTTTCGGGTTTTTCCCGGTTTTTCGGACAAACTTTGGGGACTTTTCCTTCCTGACTTTGTAACGGAGTTTCGGACCTCGATTTTAAGTTTCGGTCGCGGTTTCCTCTTGTCTTTTGTTACAATTTATGTATTAAAATAACCCCGGAAGGATATTATGAGCAAGGTAAACTGATTCGGAGACATTCTCTTTTGTTTTTCCGGTTCGCGTTATTGTTTTCGTAAATGAGAGCAATATTTTGTTTAGCTCATTAAATATTATTACGATCACAATTGTTTTGGAGACAAAATAATGTGTTGTTTCTTTCGCGGAATGAAAATTGGCTTTTTAAAATTAAATTGCATTTTCTGTTCAACAACGTGCTTTGCTGATACAAAACAATGACCGCTAAAGTTGTAGTAAGCTTACTAACAAATGTGTTCAGAAAATTACGAATTCAGCTAATGATGGGATAATTTTGACAGAGGTCGGATAATTATCATTAATATAAAAAAATATGTATTTTCTAAAGTGAAAAACTGTCGACTAAAACTTTCATATTCTGTTAGTATTGTTGGAAAATTCTGTCCACCATACGGTGATCGTGATTACGTCATGTCTTAGCGAGAAATTTGAAAAATCTTTTGAATTTGATAAATTGTAAAATGTACTATTAATTAAAAATTATGTATCAAAATGTTTTTGGCCTTGAAAAACAAGTATATTATTTTAATATTTTAATTAAAAACATTTGAATCATTTTGTAACTGTTTAATCCGGTCCCTATTCAAAACTGCAATCCTGTTTTTTTTTTTTTCATTTTAATTTCCTTATAGTATAATAAATACAGGCATAAAACGAAATTTTTTACTTAACTTCATTCTGCTCGAACAACTGAAAAGAAAGAAATAAAATAAACGGACCCAGACATTATTATAAAAAAAAAATTTTCGAATACAGATCTGCCTAGTTTTCCAAACACATTTTATCTGTATTGAATCCTATTTGGATTTCGTTTCGGGACTTAACACACACATAGCGCGGAGTGCTTTTAAAAAATCCTCCTCCTGTACGCGAGACCGGGAGTAAATGAACAAAAAACTACTAAAATGTGTGCTGTGAACAACAAAATATCTCCGCGGCAGTGTGTGTTCGCACTTTGCACATCTGAGCTCGGGCACTTATCGCCGAAATAAATGAGCATCGTTCCCAGAGCAGACGCCGAACGCTACTCGTATGTTCAGGAGAGTAGCTGGAACGATTGTGGGATTAGGTGATGGATAAAACGTGCATCTTGGTTGGCTATTGGTCGTATTTATAGACACGCTTTTTACTGGCGGTAGGACTTCTTGTGAGTCCGCGCGAATAGGTACCACCACCCTGCCTATTTCTGCCGTGAAGCAGTAATGCGTTTCGGTTTGAAGGGTGAGGCAGCCGTTGTAACTATACTGAGACCTTAGAACTTATATCTCAAGGTGGGTGGCGCATTTACGTTGTAGATGTCTATGGGCTCCAGTAACCACTTAACACCAGGTGGGCTGTGAGCTCGTACACCCATCGAAGCAATAAAAAAAAACGCGCCTTAATAGAACCATCCATTAGACCTAGAATATTACCATCCCATCTGTTTTCTCTTAGGTGTGAGACAGCACCTTTACTGGTGGGAGGGCGTATCGTAAAATCGCATATATTGGTCCCTCGTGCCTCCTCTGCCCGAAGCAATAGCGTGTTCAAACTCAATTAGTGAATGAATCAGCTGTTACATAAAACGGCTCATTCTTCGAGCTCATGTCTTCAAATAGGTGTCCGCGTTATGATGTTTATTGGGACTGAACTCTCTGACAACCTAACCTATTGAACCTTTGGCTTTTCTGATCAGTGAATATCTGCTTTTGTTTGTCTGTACGTGACTACTGGTACTTATAGTACCGGATTCAGTTAGGTAGGCTTGAAGATTTTTGTGATCGAAACTTTCAATTACACTCAAGAGATTATGGTTCTGGAAATTGTAAAGTAATCGAAATTTTGTTTTTAAGAAACGTTTAACGGCGAGGTGAAACTGTAAATTATATAATACAATAGAGTTCGTCTATTCCTTTTTTGAAAAATAAAGCTATGGAGTGTCTTGAAAATTTTAAATTAGTATATCAAAATATTCTAAAATAGACTTACAAAATATATATTCGTTAGCAATTTTAGGCTAGCATAACCAAAATGCTTGTAGCGAACAGCAGAGTAGGTCAACTGCAGGAAACGCTAAAAGCTATTTGTACAGCCTCGTTCAAACAATAGGCTATTCCGCATAGCTTAATGCGCTATCTGGACCCCTAACTAGACCCTGTTTGCTGACTTACTATTGACTCGATACACGTCTCTCTTTAGACGCTTGTCAAATTTAAAATTTAAAAATAGAATTGTGGAAGGAACTAGATTTAAACTGACACAAAGTTTTTTTTTTTTGGAACAATGTTCCTTATGTGGTATGCTACGATGCAGTGGGGTACCCTAACCGGGAAAAAAACGTCCATAACGTAAGATTTTTATTAGTAATGCACACAGTATACGACTAAACTTTGTACAAACGTACAAAACGTAACGTAAAAAAAATAACATATAATAATATATCATTTATTGACTACGATCTCAAAGCGTTCGTTTGTGCAATACACTAACTTTTATGCAAACAACCGTGAATGAAGTGTACCACAATAAGTTCGCACGTTACCGAATGACCGCGGGTTGTTGCGAAACCTCCAGTTTTATTTTCTTTACACCTCGTATAAAACTTAAAATTAATATTTTTATAATAAGGAACTTCGTTCCTGTCCGGTGTCCCACGACACCGCTCATCTTTTTTTTTAACCAAACGGCTGTTTAAGAAGTTATATTATATAGTATCCAAGAGCTCACCTGTCGATCGATGCCAAAAAAATAATGCAAAGATCATATTACTACCACGGACGGACATTGGGAAAGTAGCACTCGTATTTATAAACAGACAGCTTCGTTTTGCTATCATATATTTTATATCGACGCTTGAAAGGCAAAAGTGACTAAGCGACAATAACTGCTTTGTACATAAATGATATATAAATATATTCGATGCGCAAAAAAAAATATATTTCTAGGTCTATTAAAGTCGTTTCAATCCTACAGCTACTAGTTAGATTCTACTACAGCTAGATTCGTTAAAATAAATTTTGTTTTCAGGTATTTTAACTTTAAATTAGTCTACTGTAAAGTTCACGCATTGTCGCTTAGTCACGTTTGCCTTTCAAGCGTCGATATGTATCTAAAAAACTAACAACGTTCGCATACGACCTCGATGATGTTCCAGATAACACATACACTTAGCGCCCATCACTCAAGTGGCTTTCTTCAGATAGCTTTAATTAGGGACCGATCGTATACAGAGCGGACAAATCGCCGGCGCCCGGATATTGTTATCTCAACGCTTTAGTTAACCTCCGACACCAATACATCAAAGATAATGTGTGTGTGGTCTACCCCTATTTTGTTAACTAAACAAAAAGAATGTTAATTTGAAATAGTATAAGAAAACATAGTTTTGTACCGAGTCGGTCTGTTGTGATATTTGTAAACAATCTAAAGTTTTATCTAAAATTTTTGTGAGCAATGTCATATTTGAGAACTTGCGACCTCTTGTATGAATGGGTTCTATAAAAATACTAGGCCAGTAATTTCTCGTTAAATATCTCGTTAAATCGGTTACTGGAACCTACCCAACGATGACCTTGAGATTCGGAGTCGAAGTCTTTGTCGTCGGACACTTGACCGTACTCTGTGGCATAAATAAGCTATATGATACCAACGACTCACAATGCGACTTAGTATCAATAAATTCGTACGACTTTAAAATATTGGTAGTAAGGTTTGAACCTCAATACAACAACTTCGCTTGTTCTCCTTGCCCTTATCCCGATATGTGGGCTTGGCGCAGC